CTTAAAATACCACATGTTTTTGTTAAGGGCAGCTGACAGTTAAGATTTATGTGTATGAAGGAGGCCACAAAGGTAAGATCCACATGGAGCAGAGAACCGAATGGGAAAGGGTCACTGAGAACTGAGCAGTCAATCAATCATTCCACACCGGTAGTCTGTCCTCCTCCATGCTCTCACTGCATCCCGCCACTCTGTGACAGCAGAAGTTGTCCTACTTTCTAAATCTGCGCTGCGTCATCAACTGCAGGCTGCATCAGCTACCTTTTAGCCTGTCTCTATTATTTTTTTTTCTTCTCCATATTTTTCACTTGTCTCTCTTACTTTGCCTTATTTGTGGAGATAAAACAAACATTCGGCGCTGTGGCCTAGAGCCTATTCTTGTTTTCTCTTTTCTCTTGACTCTTTGCTGATTGTTTGAGCCTGTTTTTTGACGTCTGTTTCTCTCTGGCATGACATCTAAATACAAACAAATGTTTTCAGCCTTACAGACCTTGCCCTGCAGCCAAAGCAGAGCTTGACATGTGTGCATCCTCTCAGTTGGCCTTTTTGACCCGTGTTGCATCACTTCACAGCCTCTGCGTTTTCCATTTGGTTTCGGTGTTTCTCTGAAATAGTTGGACGAAGTTTTGCTTTGAGTGCATTTACCAGTGATGGATTGAGCTGCTTTATTATACTGTGTACTTGCCTTTTCTTGTCTCACATCATTCTCCTTTGTCTAACTGAAACCGTCCCCGCGCTAATGTGTAATTCAATCAGCCAAAAAGCTGCGTGTTAAGGTTCATTATGCGTTGACTAATGCACCACACAAGTTTGGATGGAGCTATTCATGCAGCTCATCTTATTAAACCTTTCTCCTCTCCCAGTCTGAGCTGAATCCAATTTAATAACACATGCTGCAGTGCACTTTTATTACAGTAATATCCACCAAAGATGAGACTACAATGCTACTTTTGGGGGCTGCAGTGACAAGCACGTATGGCTTTTTTTTTTTTCTTGCAACATTTTATAGCTATCTACTCTGTTGTGGTGTTCGTCCCAGGTGGGAGGCGAGTGTTATTAATACCCATAGACCACTGCTCACTGTGGTCGTGGAGAAGGAGCATCACATATTTGTTTACACATTATTTTCTCAGGCGAGGCCACATGGATATTCTCAGTGACATAAGAGGTGCGAGCAGCAGCTGGTTTAGATGTGATGGTGCAATCTTCTGTCCGTGTTCTTCGATTTCACACTGTGACTCTGTGTAAAACACTTGAGGCCAGGGGACTTTACAGCGCGTCTGTGAAGGGATGCCCCAATGAGTTTTTTTTTTTCACATCTTCTAGAACAGGGGTGTCAAACTCATTTTCACCAAGGGCCACATCAGCAATACAGTTCCACTT